TTAGCAAGCTACTGAGTAACAGCTAGTTAGCAAGCTACTGAGTTACAGCTAGTTAGCAAGCTACTGAGTTACAGCTAGTTAGCAATCTACTGAGTAATGGCTAATTAGCAAGCTACTGAGTTACAGCTAATTAGCAAGCTACTGAGTTACAGCTAATTAGCAAGCTACTGAGTTACAGCTAGTTAGCAAGCTACTGAGTTACAGCTAATTAGCAAGCTACTGAGTAATGGCTTATTAGCAAGCTACTGAGTAACGGCTAGTTAGCACGCTACTGAGTTACGGCGTTACCAACAGAGCTCATTAACATAAACAGCTCTTCTGAACAGAAGTCAGAGCAGCAGAACTAGAAAATGAGAAATTTTATTATCTGAGAATTATTTTGTGCATTAAATTGAATGAACATGGTCTGGATAGCCCACAGACATACCATAAACATTTCTACGACCCATAATTGGTCTCCTTTAAAAAGTCTTAAATTTAACTTGTTTTAAGCTGTAGGAACCCTGAACCTAGGTGATTAGTTTTGGAGTTTTTCAATTTTTTTCATTCATCTTGATAACATATCTGTGAGTCTATGTCTTAATTTTCCTGCATATTTGTAACTGTCAGGTCAAAGACTGTGTCGCCCTACACCAACTGGTTGTCCAAGGTGTCAGAGTGTGACGTGCTGGTAGCTGCTCTGGGTTCTGGGGGTGTGGTCACAGTAGATACAGGGGGCTACATCCGGCTGTGGGAGACCGGTTTGACCAGCCTGCAGCAGTCTCTGATGGAGTGGAGGAACATGATCGGGACCGAAGATGGCAGACCCATACAGGTAAGAATCACCACTAAGGGGCAGTGCTGCTTTAAAAAGAACTGCATGAGAACAATGTCAGCTCAAACTTTGGTCATTGTTTCACAAGTAATTGTTGAGGAGCTAAATGTACTTGACCTAAAAGTATTAGACTCAGCTGTACCCAGCATGGCAGCCAAGAATAAATGAGTGGGCACTGTTGTTTTTTCTCAGTATGGGTCAAAACATTGAGACGTTTCACACTGAGACATCTTTGTGGAGGTGCTTACACAGACAAGTTAATTTTTCACCTTTTTGTCTGCATCAGTCTGTTACAAAAATAAGTCAAGAACCATGAGATGCATTAATAAATTGCTAAAATATTAATCTTTTGATTTGCCTCTGTTTGGAGTCAACCTCTTCAAGATGGACACCACAACCAAAAGACACATGTGTGTGTAAATCACTCAGTATTACACATGATGAGCTCACATTTGATACAGTTGTAATAGCTACTTTTAAAGATAACCAAAACTTGGGCGTAAAAGGTGGCAGAAAATATTCATTTATTCAGSAGAGTCCTTTAAATAAACTAAACAGTTTGCATCAGGGATTACTGACTTTCAAACACTTACACAAGAAGCAAAATAAAAAAAAACCTGTTTTATTTATGGCATATGGTCTTTTTTTCAACATTGAGTGACCCAAAAAAATTTTAAAAGCTGCAATTTTACTATTTAATCCAACAGTCAGTGTCACACATGCAGAGCACACAGGACTACTGTCTGGGCCAGATTCTTCTGCTGTCTTCAGGGGGCAGCTTGAGTTCACTGTAGATCAGACTTGTACAGACGCAGTCTGTGTTCTGTCACAGCCCTCAGTAAGCAACTGTACTTATACTGTATTGCAACATACCCATCTACACATTTCTGTACATGTCTGTTACTATAATTATCTGTTTACACAAGACAAGTCCATGCAAACTTACCAGTTSTAGACACTTCTTGCCAAATACCTTGTTTTTATAGCATGCTAATAGAGCACAGTGAGTCAAATATAAGAATAAAAAAGATAATTAAAAGCCAGCAATCCTTTATTAAATACATGTCACCCACCACCTTTCATGTCAAAGCAGACTAAGATAATCTTTTGTTGAGAAATTATGCAGTTGTGGCCATTTTGATCAAACCTTAAAGAGATCCCCAATTACTTATAACATTAGACATTATTTTATAAACATTTACTTAAACTGTAAAACAAAGACTGTAAAGCAGTGGTTCTTAACCTTTTTTGAGGTACCGGACCCACCAGTTTCATACGCGCATTCACTGAACCTTTTTAGTGATAAATAAAATATGTTTTTTTTTTCCAAATTCAAGACATAGGTACTGTATATGTTTTTTTACTGATGTATAAAATGAGCCGTGCATGAACCTTGCTCAAAGAACAAAACCAACAC